GAGTCAGATCACTCGAATCACTCAATTCAGTCGATCCACTCGACGACGCCACAAGACGACAAGAAGGCAGTAAAGATTTGGAAAGTATAAGTTATTAAAAAGCTAGAAAAAAAACCAATCCCCAGACAATTCACAAAACCAACCCACCTTAAAAAAGATTCAGCTCCCAATATCATTGTGATTAGTAGCTGTCTGAGTCGAACCTATCCTTAAGATAAGGGATTCAGCAAACGGGGTTCATTGTGATCTCCTGTGGGTACTGAATCATTATCATCCTAACCTTCAACTGGACCACGGTCTTCGGACGCATTGTGCAATCTGCTGTATTGTGGTTCCAGCTACCTCTCTCCAATCCAAAAGGCTAGCAGAGATAATAAAGTAAACAAAAACACTTCTTGTCGCCTATGGAATTACAAACAAGCGAGAGACCATTGTAAAGTGTGTGTATGTGTGTGAGAGAAAGAGCAAAGTAGAATATTAAGGATACCTAGTCTGTAATTTATAGGACTATATATCATTATCTTATTATTTAAAAAAAAACTTCGGTGTCTAAATTGTTTCTAAAGACGCCTGCCCAGTGCACAAACCCTATAAACAGTCTCGTGATTCCTAACACTTGAAAATCACGAAACGTCTCAATATGAATAAAGGCATATACAATTTTTTAAATATTTATATATTGACAGATAATGACAGGTGACGGGTAATGACATTTTACGTTTGGAAATATTGGCAGGGCAATTGTTTTTTTTTTAAGTAAGCCTGTACGGTGCACGGAACGGGGCATGCTCGATGCTACTCATCATGTTCCGTGCTCCATAAAATACATAACCTAATGGTTGCTAGGGTACATAAACTTAATTGCTTGTTCACTTATAACAAAAGATCCGCACGAAAGTTACGTGCGCATAGCACATAATTTGAATGGAGGAAGGTATAAAGATCAGTCAAGCGGAACAAAGGAGAAATTCGCTCATCACGAATTCGTTCATAACCAGGTAGTACTCTACCCTATAATTATTTGCTATTGTTATAAAGATTCAATAATATGAGAAAAATTCTATACTTAAAAAATCGTACGCATTGAGATGAATATTGTGAAGGGGGTTTAATAAAAATTAGAACTGATTTCTATAGTCATTTTTATTAATATTCGTGAATTCACGCAAAGTATGCATAATATTTTTCAGTCTCTGCATATAGTTCGTTTACATCAATTCATTGGTATGTTGCAGGATGGTCGAATTGAAACGCAGTAAAGTAATATTATCGATACTAATTTGTTTGTATACACAAGTTTCTGACCTTAATACGAATTATAGGCTACAGAAAATTCATTAAAAATAAGTTTTAATTTTCCTATATATGCTTAAAAATTCTTTTTGATTTCTAAGGATCATAGCTGTTACAACATCCTCTAATAATAATCAATTTTGATTTGGTAACTCTTTTAGAGCAAACGCCAATGTGTGCAAGAAAAAAGAAAAGAAAATTAATCTTTTGTCTTGGAATTCATCACCATGCAGCATATGAAATAAGACAAAGTAGTAAGATATTGTAATGTATTATACTCAAACGTATCTATCAATAATTTTCTACGCGTATATTTTTCATACGTAGTAAAAATATAAGCAAAAAGTTCTTATGACGATATTTGTATATAATAATATTACATAAACCAACTACAATATTAGAGTAGGACCCAACCCATCACGGATCAACCCTATACGATAATTCTCATGTTAAGTTACGAAAATTGTCGTTTGGGTTGGGACCCACTCAAAATACTTTTATCTTTCCCCGTTTTTCATATACCTAACATTCTACACTTACAAACGTACTTTTTGGATCGTTCACCGAATTACATTAGTAAGAAGGCGATCTTCGTATATCTATATTCCTATTACACTCAGTTTAATAAAACAATATCTTCCCTACTGCTATATATTCAGTCCGCAAAATGGAAAACTTTATCAGAGGATTTTATCTCACCAGACACTCGATCATTTCCTCATTAAGTCCGTGCGCTTGTAAATTTCTAAATAGTCTGAAATGCTCTGAAACTGGGACCTACGTTCCATTGTTTGGCGTTTAAGCGTGATTAACCACTTGTATGTTTATTTTAATCGGAAAAAATGAAAGCCATTGGCCTAGTTACACCGTAAACCTTTATTTCTCTATTAAAGCACTATATCCATATCAAATAGTTCAATTAAAAAAGAGCGGTAGAAACAGCTATTTACTACAAAGATACTGCTTTACTTTGCGTATCAACTGCTCGGAATAAACTGGACGATTAATTAAGAGAGAATAGAGTTCATCCTAAAACAAGAGTGTTTATCGAAATTTTTATAGCAATTACATTTTAAGCCATTAATTTTTACACTACTATAAAGTATATATTTTAAAGTATGCATATGAATTTATGTATTGAAAAATATTTTAAAAATAATGCAGATACGATCGTCGGCGCAGAGCATGTTCTGAAAAACCTTTCTTACGGTGAACACGATATCTTGAAGATAGCTTATCTCAAATCAAAAAATAAAGAAAAGTTGAAGAATCTAACCTTTACTAAATACTGTCCTAGTTAAATTCGATTTTTCATGTTTTTACAAAATAGCGGATGATTAAACTTGACAGTATGAAAAAAGATAATTTTGGACATTAGTTTTTTGTGTGTAAAAAAGCAAACTGTCAAAAAAATCTGCTATGACAATATCTAGATAAAGTTTGTTTACTTTAAATATCTGTTTGTTCTTTTGATTTTAGATGAACATTCCCCGAGATATCGTACTCACTGTTAAAAGAGATCTTCAGAACGCGCTTTGCCTCAACAATTATATGTCTGCCATCTCAAAATAATTTTCGATTAAAAAATTACTACTTATACTTTTAATAATGTACGTCATGGTGATATAAAAATAAATGCCTTAAAATATAATTCAATTGCTAGAAAAAATTTCGAAAATCAACCGTGTTTTCGAGTGAGTTCTTAGCTATTCCTTCTTAAGTTTGTGTAAACGCTGAACGACAAAAATGCAGCATAGTATTTCTCAGCACTCCGAAAACTTAAAGACATAAAAAAGAATAGATTATTGATTCTTTAAAGAATTTAAAGAAAGGCAATAAGCCATAGTAAAAGGACTTATATGAGGCTACAGTTATGAGATAACCGCACCTTTTTTACACTTCAATATATTGGCAGTAATACCACGATACTCCAAATCTGCTCACTGTATTCTAATGTCACTTTTATTCTTTTGTTTTTGAAAATTAATTCAAACTGGGAGTTTTATTCAAATCCCACTGTGTTTCAATGCTCGGCCATTTCGTCTGGAGTACCGTTAACATTGGATTACTGTCCAGAATACATTTGACAGTGCATTCCAACAATACTGCTTGACCTCTGTGATACTTCACCTTGTTGTCCGGATTACTACGTGGGAGACCATTATAATGAAACAGTGGGAAAGTGTCGGGACATGTTCGTTGCTCTTCAGGAAAAAACTCATCCATGAAAGCAGCTAGCAAGATAATGCCTAGGGTTTCACTGTCCAACTTCTTTTTCATGATCTCCACGCTGCAAGTGGTCCCATATACGATCTCAATTAAATTAATACTTTTTATTTCAAAGAATACTTACTACTCTGAATCGGCAACTAATCCGAGTTCGCTCAGGACGTCTTGAAGAAGATCTGCTGAAATAAAATTATTGCCTTCGGGGTCGAACTTCTTAAAAACTCTTCTGGCTTGCGCAGTTGGCGTTTCTGGACTAACTAGTTGTCTCTCCGGCGAGAAAAGAACAGTCAAATGAGTTTCTGATCCAAGCACCCAAACAGGATGAGATGGAGATTTTAGAAACGTTCCTACTTCACAGTAACGTAAATGCTCCAGCAGTGCCAGAAAGCCTACAGAGTTCTGCTTATCTATTCCTCGTAATTCTATAAGATATAATATCATATCTTATCATATATCAGATCACAGACAGCTTGCAAAAAGTTCTGTGTTCTTAGATCCCTTACTGAGTCCACCAACATCTTGATCATGATCCCATACATGACTAACTGCCCGACCAGTTAACATCAGATTAATTAAACTTTGACTCCCGTAACCATATGTAGAATCAATAACAGGTTCTGTGGGATCTGACATTTCTGATTTCATTCCAGTGATACCTTTAGTGCAAACAACGGTATAAAGTAGCAGAAGAATGCCAAAGGAGTCCTTTAATGTGTTAATCTTCTCAGTAAAGAATTTTTCCACTTGATCAATATCATCTGCTACTAGTATTCTGGAATTTAATTAATATATATTAAAAATGATTCACGGTATTCGGAAAATATAATATTCCCCCACCTTAATTGAGAATGAAAGGATTCTGGGTCTAGCGTGTACTTTTTTTCCATCGTAGCACCACTAGTGCTCCTGTCTTCTTCTGCCAGCAGAACAGTGCTCACTTTAGCTGTATTATTTGAATCAGTTATATCTCCATTGACTGTCATGTTATTCTGTTCTGTGTGCACTATAGAATATTTAGGATTCTCCATATCTGCAGCTTGGGCTACAATTTCCGTCATAGCCCTTACAAGTAGCTGATCACACTTTTCTACTTTAATGTCTTTCCAACTTTGAACTTCCCGTTCAAGCAAAAGCTGTTTTAATATAAAAGCTTGAACTGGAGCAATGACAGCACAAGGACCACCTTCTGTTTGAACCAAAGCTGTAGGCTCATCTGTACTGAAATAAAATCCTACGAATGGAGAAAATATAATTAAATTATGGTATAAAATTCAGAAAACAGTTATGAGTAGCAGAAATGGATTATCTACAAGCAGGTTTATTAATGCAATAAAGACTTAATTCAATAATTATAGCAAGATCCATTTCTAATTTTTAATAATATAGAAGTGTATGAATTTACCCTGAGCCCATCTTTTAAAAACGTCTTCTTTGACGGAAGGACCCCACAGGAGGATTTTAATGTTTCGCACAATCTCGGCATCTTTCGTTGCCACATTTTCGGCCATCACTTGCAGTGTTCTGAGATCTTTGATTGCCTCACGAACACACCATAAATCAGCATTTAACTTCTAGTTGATCATAACTACAATATTCTTGTAATACACATTTAATTTCTCTTGGTATAAATTTTAACATCAAGTTTCGTTAACCTACATTTGTTATACGACAGCTGTTACATGCTGCGCCAATGCAATTTTCCACAAGCATATTCCTGGAGTAGCTTGATAGATTACGTTGCACGACAGTCTTCCTTCCTTCCTTCCTTTCCTTATGGCTGTATCCCCAATGGGGGACATGTGCTAGTAACTGGTCCTAATAATCAAGGTTGGAAGTTCGACAATAGATGGCGATGTACCTTGCGAGACAGGCCTTATTCAACTCAGCGTGAGGGGACCTACAAAGTTTATTCACCGAATCCGAAAAGTGTTGGGCGAAAATCCGTATAAATACTCACTTAAGTTTTCATATGAAAACCCATTGGTGAATGCCGCTGGAAGCTGGTTGTCATCGGGATCGAAAATCATTTTCTATTAACTCACAATATTCTCTCTCGCAATATCCTTCATAGTAATAAAATAAACATGAGACGTGTTGCGTCTTGTTTCCTTATAACTATTGAAGAACTACTTACCATGATGATGCTGCCTGTACGACTGTGACCTGACGCTGCAGGCCCCAATGTGTATTGCTAGTCGCGCGATAGTTAGCAACATTATTGCAGACGCCCGCTCAGATTCGATCCGTCAGATTCCTAGACTGTTGTGT